TATATACCCGAGCTCATCTTTGGTGTCTTGCGTCTTGATTTTATTCCGTAAATGTTTTTAATTTACATATCTTTTTTAGGCAAAGATGTCCTGAAGGCTGGCAAAACGACTCGCCACTTACGAATATCGGTCTCTATCAAGCAAAATTGACTGGAGAAGCGTTACTTGAATCCAATGTATGCATCGATCATGTTTATTGTTCTCCAGCCTATCGTTGCGTACAGACCTGCATGAGCACACTAGAAGGTGGGAAGATATTTTAGGGCCTCAACCGAGTAATGCCCACATATGTGGGCGTAAATTAGGAAATATTGAAATATCGAAACCTATAGCAAAATTTTGCAAGCGATTTTTTTAACTGTTAACTCTTCGAGTAAGTGTCCTATTATCCCTTATAAATGGGGGAATTCAGAACGGTATCGTAAGTGTCGTATTTTTTTATGTCGTAAACTTTAAACGCCTAAAACTATACTAACTGGGTTCGCAAAGTACTATCAAAGTCATATTCTGCATTTACGCAGGGTTAAAAAATAGTTGGTTGTGGGTTCAAGTTCTCTAAACATTTATTTAAGCTTTTAAAATTTGCGACGTACAACAAGACGACATTTACTACACTGTTGTGAATCCCTAATATTTATATATATATGATACGTGGTGGGATTTCTTGTCTAGATCATCAATCTGCACCGTTCGTTCGATTTTCAAAAATCAGGTGTCAAGTTGAAGGGCTTGGGATGTAGGTGTGCAATAGGTTCTTACTTTTTTTTTAAAAAATCCGCACTGTTCATTCAATTTTCCAAAATGAGATGCCAAATGAAACGGCTTGAGCTCTGGATTTTACTGTTTCGAAACGAGTTGCCACTTTTAAGAAGTTAAATCCAAATACTCAAAAAAGTTAAATCAATTATTACAATGTGGGTATCAATCGAAATGGCTTTGAAAGTGCTTTATGCAGCATTTTTGCTGCATTTGAAATGTAACATTTAGCACTTTCGAACATATATTTTCGAAGAGCGTTCATGCTATCGCATTTACCAAAATGTACATTTACGCGAGTTCGAAATCGTATGCTTCTGACAAACAGCCCTGTTCCAGCCGCTTATTCAGATCCGTATCTATCACGATCAATACGCACCGAGAAGATAATGTGCAAAAAACCCTACTGAAAAGGGAAAAAGAAATTTTAAACAAAAAATTCAATACAAAAACTTCAATTGTTTTTAACCATAACCGAAAATTTATTTGTGTATTATTCATTTGTCAGTGCTGTCAGTTGAAATTTCCTCAATTTAATGGTGAAAAAACAAACAGAGTTGATCACAAATTGAGCCAGATTTCTATCAGTATCACATCGATGTTGAATTTGCGCCACCTTTTTGTTTCCAAATAATGTAAAATAATAAATGAAATCTCGATCGGCGATCGCTGAAACGCAGCTAGCAACTGTATACGCGGAAAAGCAATGTGGCCACTTTTCTCATTAAACCATGTTCGAATCGTGGACATTTTTGAAGATCACAGGGTCGCTTCTAGCATTTGGTCTCTTAATGCAGAAATAGAGTTGCATTTAGGTGACGAATTTTGTATGGATAAATGTACATTTAGAGTAGCATTTAGAGCTAATTGCGCTAAATTTGCTTTTCTGCGTAAGCAAGAACAGCCCATAAGGCAATTAGGTAATGGAAATACATATGTATCACAATATGAGCGTCAGACGAAAGAGGGTTAATTTGAAAATAATTAGAATGTGTTGCCACCTGTTGCAAAAGTCGAATTTAATTAAAATATACACAAGTTACATTAATTATAAAACATGCGTATTAAACGAAAGTTTTAGGAAATCTTTAGTTTGAATATTTTTGGGCTGTTTGAAGCGGTTTGCCTCCTGTTTCAAAAGTTAAATTGAAGTTATTGAATAAGTCAAAAGAATTCTTTGAAGATGGGTATCAATAGAAGTGGATTTCAAA